CAGTCCTAATATATTTGAATCTATTACGACGCGCCATAATTAGTGGTTTAGAAGGCTGCCAACTAACGAAATCACACGCAGGCTCGAGCCTCAGGTGATGCGCCACCTAGAGTTGGGTATGGCTGACTAAGGACAACTAATGAACCGGAATTGACCATCCCAGTCTTCCTTGTCTTCGTTAGTAGTGTTCGCCTGCCTACAATATTAGCCGCTAAGTGACTGCTGACGGGGCTCGAGCGTGAGCTGCAAGAAAGAACGCGACGAGTGAGTCCCGTAACCGATCGGTGAGTGTGCATCCCTCGTTGTTGTTATTCCCGATCGAAACTGGCAAGACAACGAGCCCGTGACCCAATGGATTAGAGCATTGAACTTCTAAGAAACAGCTTGCTGGTTAAAGTATCGTTTGGTGTACCAAGTTGCGTTGCATGTGACTGACTGATGATGGCAAATAATTTAGAAATGGCCACCTCAGTCTTTGTCGTTAATGTTCTTCCAACATCTTCGTTCTCAGACTGTAGAATGACTTTTTCTCAATTTTTTTTTATGACGCTCGCTTATATACATTCCACGGCTGTTATTGTAGCCTGGTACCTAAAGTGGGGAGAAGAGTGCCGCGTGTTGCACGCGTAAAGTGATTGTTGAACTTTGTAAGACACTGCGCCTGCGTCCATCTTCAATCCTCTTGACATTGTCTTGTTATCAGGGGAACGACGGGGCTGTGGTAGATGCTGTCTACGTCTACTTTTATTAGAAACTAATTCACGAGCAAGCCACCGGTGCTGCGCCCACTCGGTGTGACGCGCTGTGGATTTACCCATTTTCGACGAGCAAATTGTCATCTTTGAAGAACACCATTGGAATATAAGGCATGCTCCTTAAAGTTCCCGCCGTAGATTAGTACACTAATTTTCCGTTTTACCTTTGATGTAAGAGCCGGGTTTACCGCTCCCTCCCAATTTGACCAGTTCGGAGCAATCACCACTCTTAACCGACTCTCTGTCTTCCTTCTTGATTATACAGTTGTGGCCTCCGCCCTCTGGTTTGAGACAGCACTCTGACGGTGGTTTTCCTGCCGACCAGTCCTCCTCGGCATCATCCGCGTCATCGTCGGTAGTGTCCGGTGCGCGCCAGGTTGTACTACGTCGCTCAAACGTTGACGAGGGCT